GTGTGTGTGTGTGTGTGTGTGTGTGTGTGTGTGTGTGTGTGTGTGTGTGTGAGTGAGTGAGTGCGTGTTTTACGGACAATGAATTTTCTGTATTTATTTTTTAGTCCGTTGTAAAATCAGTGCATATTACATCTAAATTCATTGAGGTAAATACAGAGAAATACTTTAAACTTGATCATTACACGAGAGTGATAAGTGGAACCAACAAGAGCTATAAAATAATATACCTTCAAAAAGTATTTACTAACATGTATTGTAATATATTAACCATGAATGGCTCAAGGGTATATGACTCTAGACGAAAGGCAAGGGATAGCTTTGTGAGAAATTAACAGAAGGCGAGCGTAATATTAGATCTAGTTACCTTCCTCTCTATTCGAAATTCGATGCATCGTAAATGGTGATGTGACGTTATCGTATCGCACTGCGTGCGAGCCATTAGGAGCTCGGTGAATAACGCTTTCGATAGTGAATATTGAATAGCAAATGTCGCTGATGGATTTTTGAATCCCCCAAAAAAACATGAAAAAACAACAACAAAAAGCAAAATGCAAAGAAAACAGAAAGACAGAGACTTTTGCACTTGGTATTCGAACAGAGCAACGGTGACTCGACGCTTCATTCGAAGCATCGGCAAAGTTGCGTTTCCCCCAAATCACACAGCACTACTGTAACTGTACACACAGCTGAACACTCACACAAACGCCTAGTGACAGACAAGCGCGTTATGTAACAGCCACAATGGCTTCACGATTTCGCTCTCGTGACCTCAGAAGTATTGTGAGAAAAAGAAAAACAGTTTGTTCTTCCGTAATTGTCTTTTATTTGTCTATTTCTTCTCCTTTATGTCCTCATTTCTACGGAACATCATTTATGATGGACTGGCACCGACTGGTTCCGTCTCTTAATTATCCCTGCAGTCTTCCAAGGGCCGTTAAACCCATGCAACTGCACGCTTATAAGAATCAAAGATTCTGGAAAAATCACATTATCTAAACTTTGTTTCGTTGAACATTCGTTATCCAGTTATTATAGTTGTTTCATCTTATTGCCACAAAATGTGGCAATTTTCAGTATATGTGTTTTGTACCTCAGTCGACACAACTGAAAAATCATTTAGGGGGGCGGGCTTCGACTCAGCCTGTGAGGACCAGCTCGGGCTGAGAGACACACTACGTCCCAACGGAAAGACTTTAAAATTCTCCCGACACAAGAATCGAACCCAGTTCTTCTGTGATCCTAACCGCTACACCACGGACGCTGGTCTTGCCAAAATGCTGTCTGTGATAAAACACAGTAAACAAAGAAATAGTTTCTCGTTCATTTTCTTTGGGAAATTTTCAAGTCTATGTATTACAATGTATTTTGCACTAGTGTTACAATATTATGGTTGCACCACTTAGCCTTTGACTTACTTAGGGTGGCCAGATCCGGAGATCTCATGTTTAAAGGTCGGGGGTTTAGAGTTTTGGTAACACTCATTTTACGCCGCTCATTGAAGACTGAGCCTAACTGTGTTTTGGTGTGTATTTGGAAACTTTCCAATTGTTGTAAATAGGTTTTCTTGGCCACCAAGACTCAAATTTTAAAAACTATGACGTACTCAACCTTTTAGTTTGAAGAAGGAATTTCGTATACATAGATTTGGGTAGGTAATGGAACGTTTCAGGTCAGCAATACGTCTACTCCTAACTGGCAAAGTATTTT